CTTGTAATATGAGCATGAAAAAAACATTGTTGGTATTATGAACATGAGAAAAACAAAACATGAAAGATAATAAAAAGTATAGACTAATTTACCAACTTTTTTTCCAAGCCAGATCTCTATCTATATATGGCACATGCACACGCACACGCACGCACGCACACACACACACAAAAGCACACACACACACATATATATAAACACAGTGAAATCTAGACAGGTAAATAAATTAGAGGATTAATTTCATTACTGCTGACATGCTTATCTGATATGTTTTGCCTTAAAAATGAATAATAATGAAAAACAGACTATATAACATTAGCTATCACACTGTAAGTGAAGTTGCCTTAATCCACAGAAGATATGTTATAAAATACAATAATTCTATGTAGTTTCATAATAACTTATATAATACTCATCTCTTCTAAATCAATTTATTATTATTATTTTTTTCACAATACAGATTGTTTTTCTTTTCTTATTACATGCATCTCTCTTATTGTCTTTCAGTTATGTACATAAGACAACCTTGAATGGGTGAATGTATACCAAACACAGAAATTCTTTTGCCATACATCTCTCAAAAAAAAAGAGAAAAAAGAAAAAAGAAAAGAAAAGGAAGCTTAACCAAATAATCCGAAATACACTTTCTGTACTAACTAGACATTTAATACTTATTTAAATTTAATCATTTAAACTTATTATTCGAGCAACTTGTAGCCACACAAAAGGCAAAGCATTTCTAACAAAATAAAGGTATAAGGTATCAGTACTTTTTAAATATCAGGTAACATTTCTGCCTTAGCATTAATTATGCAAAATCCATGATATTTGTGCATGGCAGGGACACTAATGGTAAACTGCAACCTTAAAATATGGACACATGTAAAAAATATACATATATAATGAAAATATAAGTCACATCCCAATTTCTTAACGTAAATCATAAAATAGACAAATTATGTGGAAACATTTCTTTCACAAGAAAATATGAAATAATTAGAAATTAATTCATTTTAGGTTTTTGATGGCAACTTTATAATATTTAAAAAAAAAAATATCATATTCAATTCTGTTACTGAAAAATGTTCATACAGTTCAGTTTAAGCTGCACTGATTTACATTTTGGTAAATAGACTATTTTGATATGTAACACAAGCATCAGTAGGACGCCCCAAAAAAGCTAACAGTATTCTACATCCAAAATTGGCAAGCTAATTATTGTGCTCAAATAGTTTAATATGTGCATAATATATGTATAAACTGTATGCACATATAAATATTCATATATATGCAATATTTATATTTATACATATACTGTGCAAGTGTGATTATACATATATATATATATATATATATATATATATATATATATATATATATATATATATATATATATATATATATATATATATTAACAATACATGTGGTTAAAAATACTTTGGGAATTTAAACAAAAATTCAAATTTATTGAAATCTACATCAAGTTTATGCAGCAAGATTAAGTAATTACTCAAAAATGATTTTAGCTTTTCTTCTTCCACTCATTACGAAATTAGACGTAAAATTCAAATAACTTAGAAAAAAAAAGTAATCACACAACTTTTGTGGAAGAATTAACAAATATTTATTAAGGATCTTAGTTTAAAGGGTATATTATTGGCAAGTAACGATTATACAGTTTCTTGTCAATATCTAAGAAAAGACAGAAAATGACGCGTTCAAACTTATCCTTGTGGGCTTCCAGCATGGTTCTCACAACGGGCAAGACCAACTGCACAGCCTTTTCATTAGGGTAACCATACACCCCAGTGGAAATGCAAGGAAAGGCGATGGTTTTGATATTATTCTCCAGCGCGACCTGCATGGACCTCCGATAGCACTGTTCTAGCATGGACGGCTTCTCCCCAATAGGCCCGACAGTGTGGATGACGTAACGCGCAGGAAGGTCATATCCCCCGGTGATCTTGGCATCGCCCGTATCACATCCGTTGAGAGTCTGGCACTCATTCAACAGGAATGGCCCTGCTGCCCTGTGGATGGCACCGTCAACCCCTCCACCTCCGAGCAGGCTGTTATTGGCCGCGTTGACAATGGCATCGATTTCCAGTTTCGTAATATCGCCATAGAAGACTGACACCTTCTCGTTGATCTCGGGGTCCACTTGATACCTGCATTCATCCTTGAACTTGTCTACTAGGCTCTGTGGATGTGCAGCTGTAGAAACGCTGTAAGAGTTCTCCTTGTAGAAGGCAGGCCAGGAAGGGATCTTCTTCAGCTGGATGAATTTATCGCCGCAGCTGTAATCCCTCCTCCTCTCCTTCCGATTCTGCGAGAGCTTCTCGAACTTGACTTTCTGGAAGTGATTATTGGAACTCATGGCGCTGGAGTTATTTCTCGACAATATCTGGGTGACTGATCCCGTTCCACTGTTTATGGCTGTCAGCACTGTCCCTTGACATAGGCCTCGTAGGAAGTTAGTCGGAAACCGCAGAGAATTCTTTAAAAAACGTCCGCCGGGAGATGCTGCAGGAGTTGTTCGGGACGCGAAGTAAACAAGTGCCATTTTAGGGGAACAAATCATAAGCAAAGATATATACGGCATTTGTTTGATAGACTTATTTTTCATTTTTATTTCTATTTTTATTTCATGAGGTCAAAAATTCAATATTAAACCTTCGTGTACTAATTATGCTCATGTTATGTCGATAGGTTAAGTGTTAAGCAGTTTTTATTTTTCTTAAATATTTCGCTGCATGTTTCGATGCACCGCCTCCTATTTACTCGTATTTCCCTTTGGATTTAAACATTTTAGTAATACAACATATAATACTACAATGTCCAAGATTTCACTCTTACAGAACAGACCTGATGGAAGCTTTAAAAAGAATCAAAATGAATAATAGAATAATAATAATATAGACTTATTACTCCCAGGTGCTGATCTCCCACCAATAAAGAAGGACTACATTTTAAGACACACAAAAATATCCCTAAAGAAAACGAAACTAATAGAAATAATATAAAGAAAAGAAAGAAGAAAGAAGAAAGAAAAGAGATCCAGGGGATATAGACTAGACAATAGTCTAAAACCCTATAAAAGAAGAAAGAAGAAGGAGAAGAAACATTTTAGTAATATCGCAGAAAGTAATATCGCACGAAAATGTATATGATACTTCAAAACTACCAATCAGAAAGCAAAAAAAAACAAAAAGAGAGAATTATACTGAACAAATATAAGTGACGATAAAATGAAAAATGAATAAAATATAAAATGACGATAAAATAAAAATAAATATATATAATGATAAAATAAAATGACAGAGAAGCAGATAATTATACTGAACAAATATAAGTGACGATAAAATAAAATGACAGAGAAGCAGATAATTATACTGAACAAATATAAATGACGATAAAATAAAATGACAGAGAAGCAGATAATTATACTGAACAAATATAAGTGACGATAAAATAAAATGACAGAGAAGCAGATAATTATACTGAACAAATATAATGACGATAAAATAAAATGACAGGGAAGCTAACAAAAAGATAATTATACTGAACAAATATAAATGACGATAAAATAAAATGACAGAGAAGCTAACAAAAAGATAATTATACTGAACAAATATAAATGACGATAAAATAAAATGACAGAGAAGCAGATAATTATACTGAACAAATATAAATGACGATAAAATAAAATGACAGGGAAGCTAACAAAAAGATAATTATACTGAACAAATATAAATGATAAAATAAAATGACAGAGCAAATAATTATACTGAACAAATATAAGTGATGATAAAATAAAATGACAGAGAAGCAGATAATTATACTGAACAAATATAAATAACGATAAAATAAAATGACAGAGAAAAAAATTTATAATTATACTGAACAAATATAAATGACGATAAAATAATATGACAGAGAAAAAAAAGATACTTATACTGAACAAATATAAGTGACGATAAAAAAAAATAAATAAATAAAAAGTGACGATAAAAAAAAATGTAAAGTGACGATAAAATAAAAATAAATATATATAATGATAAAATAAAATGACAGAGAAGCAGGTAATTATACTGAACAAATATAAACGACGATAAAATAAAATGACAGAGAAGCAGATAATTATACTGAACAAATATAAGTGACGATAAAATCAAATGACAAAGAAGCAGATGATTATACTGAACGAATATAAATGACGATAAAATAAAATGACAGAGAAGCTAACAAAAAGATAATTATACTGAACAAATATAAATGACGATAAAATGAAATGATAGAGAAGCAGATAATTATATTGAACAAATATAAGTGACGATAAAATAACATGACAGAGAAGCAGATAATTATACTGAACAAATATAAATGACGATAAAATAAAATGACAGAGAAGCTAACAAAAAGATAATTATACTGAACAAATATAAATGATAAAATAAAATAACAGAGCAGATAATTATACTGAACAAATATAAGTGATGATAAAATAAAATGACAGAGAAGCAGATAATTATACTGAACAAATATAAATGACGATAAAATAAAATGACAGAGAAAAAAAAGATAATTATACTGAACGAATATAAATGACGATAAAAAAAAATATATAAAGTGACGATAAAATAAAAAAATAAATAAAATATAAAGTGACGATAAAATAAAAATAGATATATATAATGAAAAAATAAAATGACAGAGAAGCAGATAATCATACTGAACGAATATAAATGACGATAAAATAAAAATAAATACTTATGATGATAAAATAAACTGACAGAGAAGCCAACCAAATCGCCACAACGCGACCCGGACCGAGAGCCATAAAATAAAATGACAGAGAAGCAGATAATTATACTGAACAAATATAAATGACGATAAAATAAACTGACAGAGATGCTAACAAAAAGATCATTATACTGAACAAATATAAATAACGATAAAATAAAATGACAGAAAAGCCAACCCAATCGCCACAACGCGACCCGGACGAAGACCCGAGGTGTGAAGACGACAGCCAAGCGACTGACTCTCTTCTGTCTGTAAATATGAATGTTGAAAGACTTCCCAATGAGAGAAAATTGGCCATATGCAGGAAATACTTTATGGGTAAGTGCTCCTCCGTGTGTTATCTGGCCAGAAATATGTACTCTTGGGGCCGATAGAAGGAGGAATTCATCGTGAGTCATTGAGGTGTGAGGTTTGTTTTCACTTTTTTCTTCTTCCTCCTTCCATTATGTTTTTTTTTCTCTCCTTAAAATATATTTAATTTATAAGCAGAGGCTTCCTGTTCGGTGATTTCATAGAAGAAGAAGTAACAACCTGTGATTACTATCGGGTTTTTATTTGAGTGCCTGCCAGAAGCATCAAGGAAAATTGACGTGACAGATTTTCTTAACCCAAGAAGATACGAGGTCAAATTTTCAGTGTATTTCAGGCTTAATATTGAGACACTTTTCATTACGAGGTCAAATTTTCAGTGTATTTCAGGCTTAATATTGAGACACTTTTCATTACGAGGTCAAATTTTCAGTGTATTTCAGGCTTAATATTGAGACACTTTTCATTACGAGGTCAAATTTTCAGTGTATTTCAGGCTTAATATTGAGACACTTTTCATTACGAGGTCAAATTTTCAGTGCATTTCAGGCTTAATATTGAGACACTTTTCATTACGAGGTCAAATTTTCAGTGTATTTCAGGCTTAATATTGAGACACTTTTCATTACGAGGTCAAATTTTCAGTGTATTTCAGGCTTAATATTGAGACACTTTTCATTACGAGGTCAAATTTTCAGTGTATTTCAGGCTTAATATTGAGACACTTTTCATTACGAGGTCAAATTTTCAGTGCATTTCAGGCTTAACACTGAGGCACTTTTCATCTATGGCATTTCGAGCGCAAATAGGAAATAAAGGCGATACGTGACTGAGAAGAGACGAGATCGACTCCGCTTTTTCCTTTCCTTTTTTACATTGCGAGGATAAGCACTAATTTGGGCCACAAAACTCTGTAATGGGATAGTTTTTATACTATTTTATGCTTGATAAACACCTGTGAGAAATGTTTGTTTTCAGTTTTTAATTCCAGGCACCATATAAAGCATATAGTATAGGTCTCATGGGGTTTAGATAGGTTGGATTATTAGTTAGGATATATTGTATGAAGGCCACAGGTCCAGGGGTGGAGCTTCCTGGCTAGGGGCTTTGGAGGGTGTAAATTGTGTGTGTGTCTATTGCCAATAGACTTTCAGAGGTGGTGGACACGTTTGTAGTGTTTGATTAGCTGATTTGGTCAATATGTAGTATAAGGTAGTGGCAGAGTTGGGTAATAAAACCTACATGAAATGATAGAACAATACAAACCAAGACAAGGTTCTTCTATGGGAATATGTGTGCAAATGCTTCCCAAGGGTGCTATATGTTAAAGAAAAGAGAAGATCCCCTGGTCAATATGTAGTAGAGGGTAGTGGGTTACTTTCAAATTGATTTTGATTTTTTTTTCTGAATGAAATCCACTGTTTTCAACGATTCTAGGCATTGTCCTTGTGCAAATGAATCGTTGAGGAGATATAATCACCATCTCCATCGACAATCTTGATTTGATAGTCCCGATAGTAGGGGAGGGTATGATGGGTGACGCCGATAGGCGTGAAAACAAACCGCTCAAAAGCTGGCGTTCGGCTGTACGCCGCGGCGGTGCCAAAGCGCGGTGAGCCAGTGATTCGGGCTGATGTACCGAACTCACGCGCTCAAAGTTGGCTCCTCCTTTATTTGCCAGAGCGTAGAGTTTTTTTTTTTTTTTTTCCTTCACTCGTCACCATTGGGTTAAACAAAATGTCCTAACCCAGCATCCAACCTAACCTAACACCGTGGTGTATATTCCCTAGCCAGGGGGCTCTACCCCCTGGACCCCTGTAGTAATATATATACCTAGCAAGGGGGCTATGCCCCCTGGACCCCATGTGGTAGTACATGCGTCTAGAATTCACCCTCGCAATGTAAACAAGATGAGCGACTTGGCCAAAATTGGTGGATCTTCTCTTTTCTCTCATGTATAGCACCCTTGGGAAGCATTTGCACACATATCACCATAGAAGAACTTTGTCTTGGTTTGTATTGTTCTATCATTTCATGTAGGTTTCATTACCCATCTCTTCCGCTACCTTATACTTCATGTAGGTTTTATTACCCAACTCTGCCACAACCTTATACTATATATTGTCTGTTGAATAAATCTGATGATATGAATTGCCAATTGCCATAATAAAAAAAGTTAAAAAGTAAGGGGTTATCCCTATTTTTTTATCATTTTTGTAAGTGTACAAAATGTACTCTTTTCTCATGATCTTCACCACACTTTTCAGTATTGGTAGACAGGCTTGCTGTTAGTCCAATCATCCTTGCATCAATATACAGGCTTGCTATTGTTGAAATTCCCCTGAGTTTCAGGATTTAGTTGAAATGCACTATCAAATGCCTTCTTGAGGTCAATGTATGCAGTAAGCAGCCCATGATCAAACTTGCAACAGTTTTACACAAAATTATCAATAAATCTAGTTTGTGCATTGTGTGGGTTTTTCTACCATAGTATCAACACAGTAGAGTGTTTTATCATTCATTTATATATGTGTGTGTGTGTGTGTGCGTGTGTGCGTGCGTGCGTGCGTGCGCGTGCTTATATGTATATATGTTTATACATATATATGTATATATATACATGTATGTATATGTATATATGTTTATACATATGTATATATATACATGTATGTATATGTATATGTTTATACATATATATGTATGTATATGTATATATATTTATTCTATATATATATGTTTATGTATATATGTATATGTATATGTATATATGTATGAATATGTATAAGTATATGTATATATATGTATATATTTATGTATATATGAATATATGTAGATATAAATATGTATATATATGTATATATGTATATGTATGTATATTTGTGGATATGTTTATATATGTATGTTTATGTATATATATATCTGTGTGTGTGTGTGTGTGTGTGTGTGTGTGTGTGTGTGTGTGTGTGTGTGTGTGTGTGTGTGTGTGTGTGTGTGTGTGTGTGTGTGTGTGTGTGTGTGTGGTAGAAAAACTCACAATGCAAAAACTATTTAGATTTTTTTTTACAGATTTTTGGTTTAAATGTATATATAACAACCCTGCACCTATGTATATTTGACAAGATAGCTGTTAGAATGATTCCTTTATTGAATAATAAATAGGAAGGAAAATTCTCATTACTATTATATATGTATATGAGATGTAATATAGATAGATAAATCAGTAATTTTATCAGAGTTTGTTGGGATATGAAGATTATGTATGTCAAATTTTGATGCTAAAATTGTATCATGTTTACCCTTATTATTTAGATTTTCTCTTGCCAGCTGGATTTGCGCTTTTGCCCTTTATGTGGGCTGTGAATGCCATTTGGTTCCTGAAGGAGGCATTTTGGGCAACACCTTATCCTGAGCAGAAGCAGATTCGAACCTGTAAGTATGATGTTCTCTCATTACTACAGAATTATCTTGGATGATGTATATCATGCATGTGTGCGTGTGTGCGTGTATGCGTATGTGTGTGTTCATGTGTGCGTGTTTTTGTAAAGTTTATTGTACTTTTTCAGAATATACTAAAGTATGATAAAATTAATCATAGCATTTCTTTTTTTTCCAGATGTCATAGTCTCTGGTATCGGGGCCATTGTATGGCTCGTTGGATTAATATCTTGGGTGATAATTTTCCAACAGAACCGCAGCAAGTGGGGGGCAATGGCTGATTACCTTTATTTCATTATTCCTAAGGGTATACCCTAGTCATAGGACTGTTATGTCTTCTAAAATCTATTTTATCGGTGTAAGAAAAATTGTGATGTTCATTAATGTATTTGTCTTATACCATAATTTTAAAAATATTTTAAACCAAGAATTTCTGTAAATGGTGATACATATTATTAATTACAGTCTATATACTTCTCCATGGCAACATATTGTTTGGATGCTGGGAAAGTTTTATAGGGCTGAGTTATTTAGTTAACATATGATTTGAATTTGTACATGAAACAAAAGCATTGCATTCCCATTAGTGAACAGATTTTGTTGTAATGATGGCATTTGGTTAAATGGATGCATGTACAAGGCTATGTATTTGCCTTGTCCCAGAATTACCTTGACTAATCCATTTCTGAATGTTGTATTTTAATTTACTGTTGATTGTCTCCATTGCACCTGAAAGTCATGTAACAGATTTAATTACTTACCTTCTTCTAAGTATATCATAGCATAAGGTGAAATAAGTTAGTGAAAGTGGCTTTATTATTTGTAAGTGAATCTTTATGTTGTATATTTGATTACGAAGAAGTACTTTTCCTTTTCTTTTTCATGGTGTGGACATTGTCATAAGCATATGATAGTTTTCATCATCATTGCATTCCTATTCATTACATACAGAAAAAATGTGTAATTTTTTGTAAATCTTTCATGAAAAGTAAGGGAAATGAAAGTAAACTTGTCAGGCCATATCTTGTATATTCCATGATTTTAAATAAAAATTAATGCCAAATTTCCTTTTTATTTTCATAAACTTCTTGACTTCCAATCTCATATCAAATGGGAATTCAAGTTGCAAGAAAACATAAAATCAAATTCAATTTGTGAAGATTTAAAGACTACTGGTATGCCTCAATCCACAAGTACCTCAGTGCTAGGATTTGAAATGTTATAAGAATGCAGGTACACTTGACATGAGTTTGTGATCACCTAACCAATGTGATTTTATTATTCAACTTAATAAAATCTGTGTAGGAGTACATGGAATAATGAACTACTTAGAATGTTCCTGGACTGTTAACCCACTGCTGCCAGGGATGGCATGTAAGTATATGCCATACCCACTGAGTTTACTTTATTCATTGTCTTTACACATAGATGGTTCCACAAGTACAATGAGCCAATTACTAGTACAGTTTATCCCATCTGTTTACCCTTTACCTTGAATTTTGGAAATATTTCCTTTAATTGTATATTGCTATTAGTAATGTAAGTAACATTACAATAATTATAATGTCTATAATAATAACAGCATTGCTGTTGATGACACTGGTAAAAATAATTTTTCCTCAAAACTCATGGAAAGGCGCAATCAGGTAAGGTCACAAGGTCCACTAATTGACTCCTTGGTGGCTAATCACTTACTCATTACTGCTGTCAGGGGAATATTTGGATTAATTGCAATGCAGGTTTTCTCTAACGTAATGGCATTTTGTAATGTTTTGATGTCCATAGTATTTCATACCCTGGTGGGGCAACTGCTCTGGAATTGCTTATGGGGTACCTTATGATAACTAGGTTATTTGAGATATCGGGTTTTTATTTTTGAAAATTGATTTATTCATTCCTTGCTCTTTTTTCTATAAAAAATACCAAAATATTTTAAAGCAAGCAATGAAATGTCTTTCGTATAATAATCCATGCTACCAGTTTACTGAAAATGGGAAATCTTGGATGCACATATGTACTTTTTTTTTTTCTTTCTTTTTTCATATAACCAAGGGACTATTTATTTATTTTTTTATTTTCAGTATCTGTAAATATGATCCTCTCATCAGATAACATTAGTAATTTATTTGGTATATACAGGTATTACTTTATAAATTTGGAACACCTGTTTCTAGTTGACAAAATTATGTACATTTTGATTGGTAATTATTAACTCCATACCTACCAAAAATGTGTTTTGATATACAAGCATACATCACATGAAAGTAGCATGTGCACATTGGAAATGTCAGTAACGTGTGCTCGTACACCAAGTAATAAATAGCAGAGTATGGGCCTTGAGATAGGCCAGTAATCCTTTTTCTGAGGATTTTGTGATGGTATCACTAGTATATAAGCTTTGACAATATGTAACCTCATATGATGCTTCATAACACTGGCACTGATGGCTTTTCCCTATTCATTATGATCAATCATTAGTTTAGTTATTATTTTCACATATATTATATGATAATTTCTGAAGACATCTAGCAATAATTACACCTGTAAAAATGTGTCTTGTTGCCTTGGGGATTTATTTACTAACTTTATTCCAAGATGTGATGCCTAGGATATATCTCTCTTGATATCATCAGCAGACTTTGGTAGCAAGTAGTTTTATTCCTCATAACACTAATTTGGAAATATCAGACAATGACACACTGTCTATGTCAGTGAATGACAGCAATGGTGATATGAGTGATAAGGGAGAGGAGGAGGAGGGGGAAATTAGTGAAGGCACACTATCTGTTACAAGTGGTTTTCACTTGACATTCCATCACATGCTTCTTGGCATATTTTTTCAAGACAATATGCCTAGTAGTTACCATGGTAATAGCAAATTAATATGAGGTATGGAAACATCACACACATATTTTACTTTTTTTTCAAAATGATGTGGCATCTGAGTATTCAGGATATAAAAAATTGCAGAGTGAATAGTTTGGTCACAACAGTAAAATGTATGCTACCCCTCACACTGCAGGAAATGAAGTACATACAGTGTTCACATAAAGAAGGTTTTAAATTATTTAGTACTTCATAGTTTTATGTGCATTCCCTTAGAATGAAAATAATACAGTATAATATCCATATTCATTTACTGCACCATCTCTAAATTACAAATTATGGACAAACTTGAAATTACATAATAGAAAAATATAAGTTACCAATGAGATACAGTCTTACTAATTTCAATGAGGAAAAAAGTAATCTGACATTTACTAGTTGCTGACATTAGGTTTGTCTTTTCTTTATGTGGGACCTGATATGATGAGATGCAATAGTGAATAGAAATGAATTTCTTGCTTCAGTAACATTAGCACTACCAAGGTTTGACCTGTATTTGATAATGAGACCTTCATCATCTTCTCTTGGCTCAAGGAACTGCTTCATTGGAATGAACTGTTCAACTTGCCGTGGAGTGAGACGGAAGAAGGTCAGTGCATCAGACATGTCACCCCAGAGTTCCTTACGATATTCAATGGGCCAATACTGTTGAATGGGGATAAGGAGAAAGAGGGCAAAAGTGGAGTCACCATATGATACTGCAAGAAACTGCTCAAGAAGTTCTTTATACCAACTAATGCTTGAATTAAAACCTTCAATAGTAAGCTTTGGGTCAAGCTCAGCATATCCTCCATTGCGTAGTAATTCTATTACTGTACCTTGGAGATAGGAACCTACATCTGCATCAAGGAAAATATCACTGGCTACAAGGAACACTAATGAGAGATGCTGCAACCATGAACTGATGTCTGTGGATTGCAAGATACTCTTTCTTCGGTACTTGATGCCAAGGTATGCCATCTGCAAGCACCTTGTGACGGTTAAAATGTCCTCTGGGGATGACTGGTCACTTGAGAATTTCTTAGGAAGGTCATCAGTTTTTGGAGGTTGTGTCCTGGAAGTCTTGTATACATATTTGATTGGTTCAAGTGGCCAACATTTGCCAAGAGCCAATGGTGTCTCTGTCTGATCTATTGTGATGCCATTGGTTGCAAAATGAATGCCGTTTCTCAAAACCTTGCTTGCCTCATATTCTCTTTTACTGGCCAAGGAACCTACTAGTTCACTGCAAATGGAAACTAAAGAATTGAATATTCTTTCTGTCAACTGCCTTGGTGACAAAACTGGCTGAACCTTTGCTGGGGAGATAAGAGGCTCATAATCATTCAGTGCTAAATTATCAACCTGTGAGCTCATCTCACATAAATCAGATGTAAATTCTGGAGAACAGATTACATTGCTCAACAATTTTTCTATTAGGTGTTCATCACCTTTCTGAATGCAGGCCATGATGCACATTGCTGTTTCATGAAATATACTGGTTTCAGTGCAACCTTTTAAAGCTGCTAAATGTAAAAGATTGGAAATCATATGAACCTCCACTCTTGTTAGCCAATGTTCTGATAACTGCTGATGAGAACAACATACCTTTTGGAAATATGAGGAAAGTTCAGGCAAATCCAAGAATTTGGTTCCTTGTGCATCAAGGAATGGATGAAGGGAATGAAAGATAACTAAAAGAGATGATAATGGAAGAAGTAAAGGAAATGGGGATGTAATCTGTACAACAGGTACAATTTTTCCTCCATGTGTCACACAACCAAGAGAACCAAGGTTGACTGGGTCCCGTTTTGTACCAACCTGATAATCACAGATAAGAGATGAATGTTTAGGGAGGCTGCTCACTAAATTGCTAAAACAAGTAGAATTTAGGAAGGGGAGAATAACTTCATCATGCAATTTCTGAAGCTTTTGATTACATTTCTCTCCACTGTACGAACTCTGATCTTTCCACTTCAGATAGTAGGCTTCTAAGAAACTGCAGCAACTGCCCAACAGACGGAGTGCTGAGAAACTTGTTTGACCAGTTCGTTCAAGTTGAACCAGCCACTTCTTCAGGCATGTCTCTATCAGCTGTGGGATATCACTGAGGTCATCCCAGGAAAGAGATGGAGGAGGCAAAACTTCTGCCTTTCCACTGGCACCTATGACTGTCCCCTGGTTCAGCTTCATTCTACTACTGAGCAAAGTCTGTGAGGCAGCCACGTTCAAAGCACGGGTCAGACTATTGATCAGTTGTGCACCAACATCATAGTTGAATTTATTCTTCTCAGTCTCTTCATTGATGGGAACTTTATCTCTATAGAACACTAACTGTTTCACAATGAGTGGATAGAAGTTAGCAATGGCTTCCTCTGCTTTAGACAGTCCATATGCCAGGAGAGTGGCCCACATGGCATATGCTTCTTGACTGAGGGAAAGGGCCTCTTGGAGGGGTATGGCCACCTCACTGGGCTCCAAGGATACATAGGTGAGGATCCGTCCCATCACATCATGAGTATTGACCAGAACTGCTGCCAGCTGACGACCTCTTGCTGCTAAGACCTATAATATGTATAAAATTCAGTTAGAAAATTGATTTGGATAAAATTTACCAGTCTGCAAACAATGACATTATAAAAAGACATGCCAAAGAAAAACTCATAGAAAAGTAACGGCATTTTACTAAACATAAATTAATATTTTGAGATGAATGTTGAAAATCAGCCTTTACCCTTAAAAGATGAAGAGCCTGCTTGAGAGGGACCCCATACACAGAAGACATTGAAGAGACATTTTCACCAGTGAGCAATGGAGACAAGTTGTGTGGGAGGAAATTTTCCAGTATTACTGACAGAAGGCGGGGAGTTTGGACCACCTTCCATGCAGCTGTGAGTGAGTGGCGGACAATGCGAGTCATGATGCCTAGTGTGTAGATTACGGTGTCTGGATTTGGCTTAACAGTCTCCAGGATGTACCTGAATAAATGGATGAATTCTGTTAGTTTTTTTTTTTTTTTTTTCTTCAGTATCTGGGTTTTACATTTCTAGTCTTGTACAACTTACACTAAGCATAAGTAAAGCTCAGGAATTATAGGAACTCCTTGCCTTGTGGAATAGTAAAAGTCCAAATTACTTCATAGTAAAACCCTATATAATGGCAGTGACACTAAGTTTTCTCTTATCCATAAATATCCAC